ATAGAGGTCTCAGCGGCCCCCATATCCTCAACCCTGGTTTAAAAAGAAACGTTTAGAGTGGTTAATTATCCCATGTTACTTTTTTTTTTTTAATGATAGCAATTTCAAGAGAAGGGAGAGACTGGGAGTAAACAAACAGGTAGGACAACCAAGGAGGTTGGGAGAGAGACAAGCTGAGTGACCACTCACTTATCCTTTTATTCATTCACCCAATAAATATTTACTGGTTGACTATTATAAACTAGGTATTTTAGAACTAGGGCCGGAGACCCAGGAGTGACCAGACAAGAAGGGTTTCTGCCTGCCTACAGCTTCTTTTCAGTGAGAGGAAGCAGAAACATGCAAATGAGTGGAATAAATATAAATATAAAAGATTAACTTATATTGTGGTAAGTACTTTAAAGGAGACAAACAAGGTGATGAGAAAGTAAATAACCAGAGAGGGGCAGGTACTACTTTATATAGGATTGTGAGGAAAGGCTTCCCTAGGAGGTAAAATCTAAGCTGAGACCTGCAGTATGTACTGCCTTCCATCCTACTAAGAACTGAGAGAACATTCCAGATGAAGGAGGCATCAAGTACAAAGGTTCTGATGTGTTAAAGACCGTGGTGTGTTTGAAGAACAGAAAGGAAAGCAGATGTGTTGTCCTCAGGTGACAAATGCCCTCCATTTTAACCTTTGGAAAAGACATTTTCTTCCAAATTTATTATTATTAATGTTAATATTAGTTGCCTTTATTAAAAAACTAAATGTTCCAGTGACTATACAGGCTGTCTTATATATATTATCTCTCAGTTTTCACAATAAACATAAAGTCCCACCATATAGCTATTATTATTCCAATTTGATACAGGAGAAAACAGCCTCAGAGAGTTTAACTGATTCAATGTTACATGGCAGCAGCAAAAAGGGAATTCATGCCCAGGTCTATCCACAAAACCGACACTCTTTCATTGCTTTTTATTTGCTTGTGCACACAGAAATGAATAAAGCAGAATGTGACAGGCTATGTTTCCAAAGATGGCCACGCAATATCTCCCAGCCCAGCTTGTTCTTTTGCATGTCACTTTCCCAATTTTGCATCAGGAGATGTAGTCTATTCTGCCCGTCTGGCCCTGTGATGTGTTGGTTTTTTTGTTTTGTTTTGTTTTGTTTTTTGCGGTATGCGGGCCTCTTACCGCTGTGGCCTCTCCTGTTGTGAAGCACAGGCTCTGGACGCGCAGGCTCAGCGGCCATGGCTCACGGGCCCAGCCGCTCCGCGGCATGTGGGATCTTCCCGGACCGGGGCACGAACCCGTGTCCCCTGCATCGGCAGGCGGACTCTCAACCACTGTGCCACCAGGAAAGCCCCTGTGATGTGTTTTGACCAATAGAATACAGTGGGAGTCACTGTGTAACTTTGAAGGCTTGACCTTAAGAGATCTGCAGTTCCCACCTTCTCTGCTTGGAAAGATGCTACTTGGAACCCAGGCAATAAGCTGAGAGGAAGCCCAAGTATCAAGGGAGAGAAGTGGAAAAATGAGAAGCTCAGTTGAGAGCAGGAAGTGAGGTTTCAGACGTACAGCCTCAGTTAAGGAATCCAAGCCAGACGCCAGGTATTGGAGCTGCCTCAGCTAAAGCCTCAGACATGGAACAGAGACGAGCTTCCCATGCTGTGTCCTGCCTAATCACGAGAGAACAATAGAGAAACACTGAGGTCAGGATAGAGGAAGGGTGAAAAAACTTTTTTGGTAAAGAGCTAGGAAGTAAATATTCTAAACTTTGTGGACTGTACTGTCCTTGCCCCAACTATTCAATTCTGCCATTATAGAGAAAAACGAAGATAATATGTAACTATAGGGGTGTGTCTGAGTTCCAATTAAACTTTATTTACAAAAACAGATAGAGGGCAGAATCTGTCTTGGTGGTTATACTTGCCAGTCCCTCATCAAGACTTAGATAATGAGTTTACCTACTAAAGGAGCAATGCCTGAGAGTTGCTTCTTAAAAGATCTATTGGAGGGGCTTCCCTGGCGGCGTAGTGGTTGAGAGTCCGCCTGCCGATGCAGGGGACACCGGTTCGTGCCCCGGTCCGGGAAGATCCCACATGCTGCAGAGTGGCTGGGCCCATGAGCCATGACCACTGAGCCTGCGCGTCCGGAGCCTGTGCTCCGCAACGGGAGAGGCCACAACAGTGAGAGGCCCGCATACCGCAAAAAAAAAAAAAAGATCTATTGGAAACTGAAGCTCTGAGATCCTTGGAAACTCTGAAGCTTTTTAACTTTATGTGTAAAGTAAAAGTGACATTGTGAAGTTGCATACACTGGACTCTAAAAAGTCATCCCAACAGAGAGCTGAGTCATCAGAGAAAGCGTGGAGAGGCAACAGGGACAAACGTGGGAGCTGGGAGCCTGAGAGCTTCAGACAGGGACTGAGAATTTTGCACATGGTTCAACAGAAGCTCCAGCTCTCCTATCTGCACACCATACTGAGCACTTGGTACTTCTGCTCTGGAAGTTATTTTATTGAATTAATGTACTTGTCACCCTCCCCATAGAGACCATCACAAACAAGAGTTTCTTAAGGACAGGGAGCTTGTCTTTTTATTATTTGAAAGTTGCATTTCTTATCTACTTTTTCTTTCCTGGAAGAGGCATGCATATTTCTTGTTTCCTGGGCTTTTTGACTTCCCTTCCTGCCTGATGTTTCTTCCTTTTTTTTTTTAACATCTTTATTGGAGTATAATTGCTTTACAATGGTGTGTTAGTTTCTGCCGTATAACAAAGTGAATCAGCTATACATACACGTATATTCCCACTTCTCCTCCCTCTTGCATCTCCCTGTTTCTTTTTTTTTTTACATCTTTATTGGAGTATAATTGCTTTACAATGGTGTGTTAGTTTCTGCTTTATAACAAAGTGAATCAGTTATACATATACATATGTTCCCATATCTCTTCCCTCCTGCATCTCCCTCCCTCTCACCCTCCCTATCCCACACCTCCAGGCAGTCACAAAGCACCCAGCTGATCTCCCTGTGCTATGCAGCTGCTTCCCACCAGCCATCCACTCCACGCTTGGTAGTGTATATATGCCCATGCCTCTCTCTCGCTTTGTCACAGCTTACCCTTCCCCCTCCCCATATCCTCAAGTCCATTCTCTAGTAGGTCTCTGTCTTTATTCCTGTCTTACCCCTAGGTTCTTCATGACATTTTTTTTTCTTAAATTCCATATATATGTGTTAGCATACAGTGTTTGTCTTTCTCTTTCTGACTTACTTCACTCTGTATGACAGACTCTAGGTCTATCCACCTCATTGCAAATAGCTCAACTTCGTTTCCCTTTATGGCCGAGTAATATTCCATTGTATATATGTGCCACATCTTCTTTATCCACAATGGAACAGGATAGAAAGCCCAAAGATAAACCCACGCACATATGGTCACCTTATCTTTCAAAAACGAGGCAGGAATGTACAGTGGAGAAAGGACAGCCTCTTCAATAAGTGGTGCTGGGAAAACTGGACAGGTACATGTAAAAGTGTGAGATTAGATCACTCCCTAACACCATACACAAAAATAAGCTCAAAATGGATTAAAGACCTAAATGTAAGGCCAGAAACTATCAAACTCTTAGAGGAAAACATAGGCAGAACACTCTATGACATAAATCACAGCAAGATCCTTTCTGACCCACCTCCTAGAGAAATGGAAATAAAAACAAAAATAAACAAATGGGACCTAATGAAACTTCAAAGCTTTTGCACAGCAAAGGAAACCATAAACAAGACCAAAAGACAACCCTCAGAATGGGAGAAAATATTTGCAAATGAAGCAACTCACAAAGGATTAATCTCCAAAATTTATAAGCAGCTCATGCAGCTCAATAACAAAAAAACAAACCACCCAATCCAAAAATGGGCAGAAGACCTAAATAGACATTTCTCCAAAGAAGATATACAGACTGCCAACAAACACATGAAAGGATGCTCAACATCATTAATCATTAGAGATATGCAAATCTCCCTGTTTCTTAAGCACAAGCCTGCATCTCTTGATCAAGAGAACAACTCATTGGTTAACCTGAAGACCGTACTTCAGCTGCTTCAGGAAAGCACTGGTGAAATTATTGAAACTTTTGCATTTAAGTGAAAACCAGTAGGACTTATAAAAATGTGACTCTGGATAAAGGAAATTTGAGCTGCTACCTGATGATAGTTCCAGGATGGAAGAGTAAGAGAAAAATCTTCAGGAACCAAATCATAAGGCAGATAAATTCCCAGGGGGAAAACCATTCAGAGCATGGATCTTGAAGAGCAGAGAGGCCATGGTTTGGAGGAGACGACTTTGACAGGCTACTCCATTTCTTCCTGTTTCCTAGGTTACTCCACGTGTCACACAGCCACTTACTGTGGTTCCTTCCCTCATCCTTGACGAATCCCACCACTGAAAAATCCTGTAATCAATCGTTACCTCTGAGAAGCTCCACTGCTCACTTTTCTATGTATTTTTTCATGTTTGTTATACGTATGCTTGCATAGACAGATATACCTGTATACACATCGCCAGGAAGAGAGAGCAGTAGCTATGATCTGCTTAGATCTTAAGTGAACTAAGGTTTGGAATGTGTATCAGCCCCAGCCATCCTCCCACCTCCATCTCTGGACACTGCCCACATCAAATTGTCAGTATTTCTCCACTGTAGTCTTCTCCCCAAGATTTGGCTCAAACTTTTTCTGAAAAATCCTTCGCCTTTCTCAAGTGAATTCAAGCCATCGTGTTCTCCAGGTGTTTATGTGTGCATTTTTTTCTAAAGTGTTATATTACTCTGATGTTTAAGCAAACATATATTTCATTGGACTATGAGCTTTCCCAAATCAGGGCACATATCACATAGCTTGTAATAAGCATGCGATCAATGTTTGTTGAATAAATGACTAATAAAAGAATAGAATGAGTGAAGACTTGTTGAATTTAATGGATTTAAATTTTTAAATAGAAAGACAGGATATAGTTACTCACCAAACTGAAAATCTGTGTTTCTCCAGTTCCTCCAAATAAGATGTATCCTGAGAATAATCTTCAATTTCTCCAGTTTTCCAAGCAGTTGATTTTTCCTTCACAGAATGAAAAGAAATTAAATAAATGGTGGGAAACAGCATTTTAGCAGGGAGAGATAGAAAGTTTACCTGGCTTCAGTGACAATTTTCCCAGAATGACTTACGGAATCATTGGTCATACAGAAACATGGTTAGCCATGATTTTGCATTGAAATTATGGCTTTATATTCCAGATTCTCTTACTAAATTTTCATGTCTATATTGGCAGACTGTGACATGTTCATTTTCGTATTATCTCACATGGAACAGATTCTATAAATGTTGTTAGAATGAAAACAACAACATCATAACCAGGGTTATGGTTTTCGTATTAAATCCAGACTATTGCAAGTAAAGAAGATGCAGCTTGAACTAGCTTTTAGCAGAAAGGAATTTGGAGAAAAGTTTGACCAGCCAGGCTACTGCGAAGGCAAGGAGTCAGCTGGATTTCTGGACTAGGGGAGCAAAGGAATCAAAGGCCACCAGGATTCCTTTCCACCCTACCTCTACTTTGTTTTAGCAGGCCGCTTCATGCTAGCATTGGTTCCAAAAACTCCTGAGTTTCACAGTCTCAATAACATCAATTTAAACTCAGGACCATACAATGTCTGTGGAGCTGATTTATGAGAACTTGAGAAAATCATGTAACCCAGGATGATGGTTCCAGAAAACAGATTGCCTCATTGGAGAAACTAAACCCTATAATTCAACCAAGGATTCTGAAGAGCCCGGCTTTGGAGAGGAGTGGGGAGAGAGGGAGCATCTAACCTAGACAGACTCTTCCCTCTTCCACCAAAACAGTTAAACTTTTATCTGTTTATATATTGAAGTCTCCCATACAATTTAATTACAAAATACTGCTGACAAAAAGGCATGTGTAAACCACTAGCTACAGAAGAAGAAAGTTAGACATGACTGACACCTATAAGATAGTTGTGCTAATGTTCTTTCCTTTTCTTTAGACCCTTCTCAAGTGTTTTTGATCATAATTTGTAAGAGGCTCGTTACTTGAAATTCTTTGATATCAATTCATACCAGTTTTAGCACAAGTCTGTAGCTGAAATATTTTGCAATTGCAGAATGCTTTTGGGATGCACAGGTGGTAGTAACCAGGAAAACCCTGGAGTGAAACTCAGGTGAAATAGATGTGTCATCAAATCTCTACAAGGCTCATTTCTTTTATTATAAAACTGATTGATTTGATCACCTTAAGAAAAAAATTCATTTATGAGAGCCATCAATTGAAGGTACCTTTGGTTGTGGTCTTTTTTATCTTTCTCAGACTCTATAGCTCCCGTGCCAATAAAGGTACTTTTAATCAGACTATTTACTGTTGGTATTTTTAAGTACTCCATTCCTGAGTAAGTTAAAGTGTGTCAAAATTCTTTAAAATATATGAGAGCTCTGAACTGTCCCAACTAAACAAACATATTTGATTTGCACACCTTACCTGATTGCTAAAAATATGCTTTTGTAGGTATTTAAACTTTAAATTAGATGGCATTTATTTATGAGATGTTTAGATACTTTATTCAGTTTTACTAAATAGAAAGTTGAAACGGCTATCAAGAATTATACCAAGGATTTGGTTTACCCACCAAACCTCCTGATTTGTTAAAAAATAGGTGTTCTATGATATAGTATATTAAACTGCTTTCTATTTGGTTAATCGGTTAATATCTATCTTGATTGTTCAACTAAATTCATGGTAAAAATGGTATGTAGTATATATTTCCATGTATCTTTCACAGCTCCTAACATGGTAATAAGCACATAGTAAATACTCAAGAATTAGTTATTAGAAGTCACTTCATTAAGTACTTATATTACAATGACAATGGACTACCTCAAGTTGCTAAGTCACAAAGAAAAACACCTGTTAACTCTAAAAATAACAAAAGTTTTCCGAACCTTTGGATTTCCTTTAAAGAATGTTTAACTTAACGTGCTAAAAATTCATTCAAATGGGTGTTTTGGAAGACATAAAGTCACAGACACTTGCTCATCTCCAAAGAAATGAACCCAAAGAGGAGCAAAAACCTAAAGAAAATAAGAGTTTTAAATCCAAAAAGATATAAATATGTACAGCAAAATTCCCAGGTGAGTGAGTACCGGAGTGTGTGAGCCTGAATGAATGTTCACATTGAATACACTCAACAATCTATGCCCAACAACTAATACATTAAATAGGATATCATCGACATTTAAAGACAGAAAATAGATCCTCTGGCCCATTACAACTTTAAGTCCCTGAAGCCAAAGAACATCGTTATTAAAAAAATAATAATAATAAAGTCTTCCACCAGCATTGTCTTTAGAAAGATGAATATCTATACTTTAAAGGAGAAATTGGTGGTGCAAATTTGTTCTGGAATGGCGCGTTTCACATATTATCTGTATGGCTACTCAGAGTCTGACCAATCGCAGAAACCACAGCAAATATGTAAATATAAATTGCTAGAATTCAGAATACGATTTTCAAGTTCATGAGCTAAAAATCTGGTGTGTGAGGATGGCCATTCAAATACAGCATCAGTGAGGAAGTAATACACATGCACTCTTTCAAACACAACAAAAAATGAGAGCCAAGGAGTGTTTTAAAGAATTTTCAGAAACTAAAGTGTATTGTGTTGCAGTCAACAGGGCCAACAAGTGATGGTCAGAAGACTCTCATTCGAGTGTTCTCGCTACTTTGGAAACTTAAATTATTTAAAGTCCATGAATTTGAGTTTTTTAATCTGAAAAATGGAGATAATATTTGTCTTGCATAGATCGCAGGATATTTTATGAAGACAAAGTGATATAATAGCGATAAAATTCTTTCTGGGGATGTAAAGGATAGAACTTAACATGCTTTAGGATATTAAGGATATAAGTAGCATCTAGTACAGTGCAATATATAGCGTGGGTGATCGAGGGAACATTTAACATCCTTTATTGTGCATTTATTACAGCATTTCTAAAGCTGCCTAGTAGAAAATACTATAGGAAGACTTAAGTCTTAAGATATTAATTTATTAATATTAAGATATTAAGATACTAAGACAAGATATTAAGTCTCAAAGTTGCCCCTGCTCGCCGCAAATAGAGAAAGCCCACATGCAGCAACGAAGACCCAATGCAGCCAAAAATAAATTGCTTAAAAAAAAAAAAGTTGCCCAGCTCATGAAATGAAAGACCCATTTAATTGTGTTATATGATAGAAAGCAAAGCCCAGCGTTCCTACCTTGTCGTTTAGAGGTTTTTACCCCTTAGCAATAATTCCTTCCATGGACCATTTGGTTAATGAAGAAGGGTGATGATGACGGGACCGATGAGAAGGTAAGTCTTTGTGCAAAGAAAGAGAGCTTGCAGTTCACAGGTCAGTGGCACCAGTGCAGTGGAAAAGCACTGCAGCTCTGGCACAATTAAGCTCCACTTAGCAGCAGCATTTTTTCCCCAAACTCTTTACAGGGTCTTTGTGCAGAGCTCTGGGGAGCACTCTTCATCTGCCCATCTGGCCAGATGAAGAGCAAGGGGATTGTTTCATCAAAAGAGAGAGCCTTAGAAAGAGGAAATAGTGAATAAAGAGCTGAATCCTGAGGATTATGCTTTTGAACTGCCCCGGGAAGATCAGAAGTGAACAGCACCATTTTTTAAGAAGGCAGGGGAGGACAGTTTGGGGTGGACGTACGGTGCTAAGAGGCTTGTGTTAATAGGATCACAGAACTGCAAGTCATCGATAACAACAACAAACACCAGGTGCATCTGAAGTAACAAAGCAAATAAATATGACATCATGTTCAGTTCCATCAGTGTTGTTATTATCATCTAAAAAATAAAAACCCAGAGCTCCAAATCAAATCCAGCCTAAATCCTGAGACCATCCAGCAAGAATACTATTTCCTCTTCCTTTAATTCGTTTCTGATGTGTGTTCCAGAGAATTTTTCAGGACAGGCTTTCTATTAGCAGTATCCAGGGAGAAGCAAGGTGCTCCTTCCTGGCTTGGTAGCTCAGGATTTACCCAGAGAGACCCCTCGGGTAACTAACCCCTTGGGTTTCTGTTTCCGCCCTCTGGATGACAACTAACACCTCTGACCACTTTGGACCACACATTTTGATTGTTTTCTGGCTCCGTGTTATTTGAAAAATGAATGCTTCACGTGTGAAGTTCAATATTAACCTCAGTTTTCCCACAGCCACCCTATCAATTGCCTGGGTTAGAGTCTTTAATAGCAGTTGAAGATTCAAATTAATTCCTATTACTATGAGAAGATGAGGGGAAAAAAAGAACACACTTAAATTGGCCTAGAGGGTCTCAGATTTAGATTTAGTAGATGGTATAACCTCCCTTGTACTCAGTCACTTGCAACTTGGGTGTACTTCTGGCTCTGTCTTCCCACAGCACTGATGTTACAAAGACGTATTACCAGCAGGCACAAAGCTGCTTCCTAAAGCAGTTCAGAGTTAAGACACCTTCTCGAAGTGCCTGACCCCCAGGGAAGAGCTTACTCCTCCAAACAACTGACTAGCAATTTGGGGAGTATAACATTAAAAATAAAATGAAAACGAGAACTCCTGAATTGAATGGTAAACTCAGAAAACATAGGGAAGAATTTTAGGTTTTCTGAGTGATTGCATTCTTTCTCATCTTACTTAATTCAGTCTTTCTTCTAATCTCAAAATTTATGATCAGCAAATGACATGAAAATTTTACAAAAATATTTAAAATGCTAATATTAGATCCACAATATCCTAGAAATCTCATAGATGTATCCTTCCTTTAGCCTCCCCAAAAGTATACATAAAAGTGCCTAATACATAATATGTATAAAGGATGTAAGCTTTTTTCCTTCGTAGCAAATTGTCCTTGGTTTCCATAGCCTATCCCTTATATTAAGGTTATAAGACCCAAGAACTAGAAAACATACACCTGGCTGAAAGGACAAAGAAATAAACAACTTTTTGAAGTATTATTTCATGATGGATACAAATATGGATTCTAGAAACAGACTGGTTCAAAGCCCAGCTATACACTTGTCAACAATGTGTTTTTTTTGGCTAAGTTGCTCCATCTCTCATGCCTTATTTTTCTCACCTGCTAAATATAGAAAATATGTCAATAGCAGTATCTATCCCATTAGTTTGTTGTGAGAATAAGACAGTCATTTGATGTGAAGGACCTGAGAACATTTTCTGGCCTCTAGTAATTTCCTAGCACTCAGTGAATGTTATCTTTCACTGTTACAAATTTCACTAAACTTTTGATTTCTAAACTTTCTTCTTCTGCAGTACAAAAACAACTGTAATTGTAAATGCTGTTAAGTAGTCATCTAGACATTAAAAACCCATTTATTTGGGGTGGCGCAGTGGTTGAGAGTCTGCCTGCTAATGCAGGGGACACGGGTTCGAGCCCTGGTCTGGGAGGATCCCACATGCCACGGAGCAACTAGGCCCGTGAGCCACAACTACTGAGCCTGTGCGTCTGGAGCCTGTGCTCCGCAACAAGAGAGGCCGCGATAGTGAGAGGCCCGCACACCGCGACGAAGAGTGGCCCCCGCTTGCCACAACTAGAGAAAGCCCTCGCACAGAAACGAAGACCCAACACAGCAAAAATAAATAAAATTAATTAATAAACTCCTACCCCCAACATCTTCCTAAAAAAAAAAATGTACCTTTAAAAAAAAAACACATTTATTTGATTAGATGGCTGTCCACTATTTAGAGGTGGAAACAAGGTTTATTTAAAATCAGTCTTTAAAGAGAGAATGGCATGAAAGTTGGCTCTATAGACCTGTATTAATTTAGTCAGCATACTGGAGTATAAAGATAATAATTCATATAATTTGTATGAGAAAGGGCAGGGTTGGAGAGAAATCCTTTTACTTTGATTTTCTAGCCAGGCTAAATTTTCTGAATACTTAAAACTCGAAGTCATTTGGTCTATATAGATAAAGATTTTGGAAATGGTTAAGTATCAAAAAACGGGATCCAGTAACACCAGTAAAATTAATTTAACCGTTTGGAAACCCAGGCTATGTAATTTATATAAATTCATCAGGATAGTTTCTGGATAGATTTCATGGCAGCCATGATCATGCCAAATAAATACAGTACAATCAGCACATTTTCTAATCACCCTGCCCAAGATGGAAAGAGTCTTGTAGACTGGTTAATTTAACTAAAGTCTTCAACTGCTTAAAGAAGTCTGATTCGGATGTAATAAAAAATTATTAGCATTACTGATTTCACAAACGTCAGCTGCTTTACTATGCCCTGCACTTCAAAACCTGCTTTGATGACCAAATTACTTTCTACCTGGAAATATATTTTAAGAAATCATAGTTAATAATCAGGACCGTCGTTTTCATGGTCAAAACCAACTTCTATAGCCTTCATCTTACCTTATTGTGTAATTCATGGTCTTCTTTTGAGAGATTGAGATCACGGTCCATAGGGCAGGGACCAATTTTATTAGAAATGCTTCCTAGGGTTAAAAACAAAAGGTGGAAAAAAATATTATAGATTTGTACTTCAGAGGACATGTAAGCTTACACTGCTGAAATCTAAGAGTTTATATAAAGCCTGACAAATGGGGGTAAAAGAAGGAATTCTCTGGAGGCTCTAAGTTGTTCTATGCTCCCAGTTTTAATTCAGTCAATGCATGAACTTCAAGTAGAACTTTACCATTGGCCATACCACGGGGATGCAATTTACAAGCAGCAGCTGTGTCTGATCTGCTTTCCGGGTAGGATTCTTTATCCTCAGCTATGTTTCTGTGATCAAGTTTTCAAAGAAATTTCTCTGTGCCTCACACCAGTATTCCATTATAAAACCTTGAGACTAGACAGTTCTGTTATCTGTGTGTACCCAACACTTCTCACCTGAGCTACCTTTATCATCTTTTGCAAGACTTGTTTTATATCAGGGTTTCTCAACTTCAGCATGAGCGACATTTTAGATTGGTTAACTCTTTGTTTGGGGGCTGTCCAGTGTTTTGTAGGATGTTTAGCAGCATCTCTGGCCTCTACCTACCAGATGCCAAAGGCACCCTTTACCTCCCCAGCCCTCCCCTAGTTGGAGACAATTAAAAATGTCTCCAGACATTGCCAAATGTCCTTTGGGGAGCAAAACATCCCCAATTGAGAACTACTGCTCTAGATCAAAACTTCCTTGCAGATAATGTGTTTTGCTCATCTTTCTTTCTCCTATTATGTCCAGCACAGTGCCTGAAATGGAATGCCCCCTCAACAAATGTTTCTTAAATTATGAACAAAGAAAGATAGTGCATAAGCAGGTATATCTTTACCTTTACGACTCTCAATCCATTGGCTGGACCTCTCACTTCAATGAGCCCATGTGCTAAGGCCTATCCCCAGCATCTTGTGACAAATACCCTGGCCCAGAAGCTGTTAGAGATTGGAGTACCTTAACAGAGCCACAGCTCTTACCAAGAGGTTGACCCAAAATCTTTTTTTAAAAAGTACACATGTATCATATACCATGAGCAGTCACAGTCTTGCTGCCTGTCCTCTCCTCTCCCTCTAGGGATTAAAGGCTGCCATCCTCAGCCCTTTGGAATTGCCTTTGTGTATGTTTCTCAATGAGCTTTCCAGCGTGTAAAATGTTGAGGACATGGTCTCCCTGTCTGCATGCTTTGGAAAACTTTTCCTCCCTAAAGATGACCCAGCCAGCCTCATGAACATTCTCTAAGTTTTTTATAGTGCTGGTCGCTGAAGAAAAATTCTTTTACCTTTGCTTCATCTGAAAATGTCTTTATATCAACCTCAGTTCAAGAAGGATTTTTTGCTGGATACAGATTTCTGAATTGACATTTTTTAGCATTTTACATATGTCATTACATTGACTTCGGGTCTCCATTGTTTCAGACGATAACGTCCATCATTTCTCAGATCACTGTTCCCCTTGTTGTAATGTGGGTTTTTTTCCTTCTGTCTACTTTCAAGATTTTTGCTTTAACTTCGTTTAACTGAGTTCAGCAGCTTCATTACGATACTTTTAAATGTAGCTTCCCTTGTATTTATTCTTTTGGGGTTCACTGAGAGTATTCAATCTATGAGTCAATATATTCCATCAAATTTGGGGGATTTCCAATCATCACTTTTTTAATACATATTTTCTTCCATTTTATGACCCTCTTTTCTTACCTAAGATTCCCATTGTATGTATGTAAAACTATGTGATATAGCCCCATGGGTCTCTGAGTCTCTCTTCGTTTTTCTCCCAGCTTTTTCTTTTCTGTATTTCAAATTCGTTAATTTCTTTTAAGTCTTGGATTCTTCAGTTCTGAAACTTCCATTTGGTTACAATTTTATAGTGTCCATATCTCTGCTGAGATGACCTGACTATTCATTCATTAAAACCATACTGTCCTTTAATCATTTGAAAGTGCTTTTTAAGAAATTATGAACATGTTTAGAATGGATGTTTTAATGGTTTTTCCTGCTAAATTTAATATCTGAATCATCTTACAGTTATTTTTATTCACTATTTTCCCTGTCTAAGGTTTATATTCTCCTGTTTCTTTGCTAATAATTATAGATTATATAATGGACACTGTAGAACTGTAGGAGACTCTGGATTCTGCTTTCTTCCTTGGAAAGATGTTCATATTTTTTTCCTAGTACACAGTTTTATTATTATTTTATTATTATTTCATTTTATTAAACTTGCGTAGGCTTAAATTTACATTTTTTCTTTCTTTCTTTTTTTTTTGCTGCGTTGGGTCTTCGTTGTTGTGTGCAGGCTTTCTCCAGTTGCGGTGAGCGGGGGCTGCTCGTCGTTGAGGTGCTCAGGCTTCTCATTGCAGTGGCTTCTCTTGTTGTGGAGCATGGGCTCTAGGCATGTGGGCTTCAGTAGTTGGGGCACGCGGGCTCTAGGGTGTGTGGGCTTCAGTAGTTGTGGCGCATAGACGCTAGAGCACAGGCTTGGTAGTTGTGGTTCACGGGCTTCAGTTGTTGTGGCTCGTGGGCTCTAGAGTACAGGCTCAGTAGTTGTGGTGCACAGGCTTAGTTGTTCCGTGGCATGTGGGATCCTCCTGGACCAGGGCTCGAACCTGTGTCCCCTGTATTGGCAGGCAGATTCTTAACCACTGCACCACCAGGGAAGTCCCTAAATTTACATTTTGTTTTAGCATTTCTGTGAAAAACTAAGAGTTTCCAAGCCACTCTAACTTACCAGAACTCAACTTCAGGTCTCTAACTCCTCTACCATTACTGTCAGAGCTTTGTTTTAGGCTTAAAATAAGCCTCTCTAGAGCATGGTCTTTATTCCTAATATGCAGACTTTTGGCATCTCAGTTTGCTGTCACATTGAAAATGAGGTATTAACATGACTCTCCTGACTTGAATGCTACCTCTGTTCCAACTCTAGTTATCGCTGTTCTTCTCTCAGGTCCATAGTCGTCACTTAGCAAACCTCCGTTGTTCTCACTGTGGTCGTGTACAGCATTACCCTCAGCTAAGGACTCACGGCTGGGGCGTGGTCCCTGTCCTGATTTCTGGGCTCGTCTCTGCACAGCTCCCTGCTCTTTCTCACTCTGCAGATTCTAGCTACTTTGTCTCAGCTCAGTGGGACTTTCTCTGCTTGGATTTTGCTTCACTGCTTTAGAGTCAGAATTTTTGCCGAGGTAGACAACCAGGGTTTTCCTCAAAAGTTTCTCTTCTCTCTGGGATCAGCAAGTCTTGTGCTTTCTGATGGCCAATGCTCCATGACAATTAGAACATTAACATGCTTCATATGTTCTCTCCAGTTTAATGGCTGATTGTAAAAGAAGAGCTAGTCTGGTACCAGCTACTCTGCCATAGCTAAAACTGGAAGTTGCAGTGTTGTTTATTTTTTAATTAAAAGTAGGAATGGATACATAAATTGGTCACAGGCTAACTAGCACCCATGTTTATCTGTTAGTAATACAAATATAGGTTAATTACTTTGAAAGTCCACTTTATTTTATGGAAGCACTACTCAATTTAATTATCAGATCATCTTATATTGAGAAAAAGATGAAATATTTACAAATAACAGTAACCTGCTGATGCCTTTGGAATGTGTCAGCTGGGATCACCCAGAAAAAATAAATGGAACAGTCATATTTTTAATAATACATGAGGTGCACAAGGAAAACACTTGTCAAAACTGTGTGATGTTTCAGTACCCTATCTATATATAAATGCACATGTTTATAAAAGTGTGTTTTCCCTGTGTTGTGCTAATCTTTTTTACTTGGCATATTTTTAATGGTTTTTTCCAAATGACCTTTGTAAAATTAATCAAGGATCTGACACTGTCCTTTGGAGAAATGCAAAGAAAGAATACTGTTTATAGTAACTTTTGCATGAAGAACAGCCAGAAAATGACAAAACAGGGAAAACATTAATACTGAAGAAAACTAAAGCCTGAAAGTGGAACTAACTGAAAAATGTTGCCTTTTTGTTAGTAATATTTTCGTGGGTCTCTGAAATTTTATTTTCCCTTTATTTTCTAAACCACTGTCTTTGTTCTTAGAGATCAGATGGATTTCTCAAAACAATCTAAGTAAAATACACCGCAGTTTTTCAAGAGCTCTAATAGTGAAGAGCATCTCAAATTAAAGATGAGTAAAATGTACAGAAAATATGTGTAAAAAATACAAATACAGAAAACCTAGAAAAATGTCTGCAATTAGACGGGATGGAAATCTAAAAAGAAATTAAATGTAGTTGTAATACATTTCCTATTCTTTTCTTTGAGAAAATTACTACTGAAGTGAGGAATTTCTTCCTCCTGTAATTTAAATGTTAAACTGCCAGATGTGTGTCTCATGCTTGAAGAGTCGAAGCTTTGCATTATTTAGCATATTAAGAATCACAGAATTTTAAAAAGGGCTCCTTTATTGCCTGGAGGTTCTAATTAAGTAAACCTTAGCCTGGTACATTTAAAACTTGCAATACAAGAGATTTTGCTCTCCTTTTTTTTCCCATAGTCAAATCACATCTATATAACAAACATGGAAAATCTGAGATGATATAATTTTTCTTTTGCTTGAAGAATTAAAGCTATCTATTATTTTAAGAAGTTTTTAATAGAGGCCAGCAATCTAGAAGACAACTCAGGATTCAAAATACTTTTTAATCATTGCAAGTTGCTTTCCTTATTTATACCAAATAATGTGTGTTTCATAAAGGCAGTTCTATACTATCAATCTTACTCTCTCTTCCTTATTTTCCCTGTGTCTGCTGTGATCTCAACTATTCTCCTCTTGTTAGACAAAAACAATGCTAAGGAGCAACAAGAAGATCATAGGTTTTAGATTGATATTATGTTTTTGTGCATTTCTGTGTGCTGTTTATCTGTGTTAAATATCTGATCACACAGCACTAATTAGCAGTCCTTTCAGCAATTTGTGGAAAGAGTTTCAGCAGCTAAAGTAAAAACCATAATCAAATGGAAGCTCTGTAGGCACCCAACATTCATAAATCATTCCCTTAA